GATGTCCTGGGGGATGGGAATAACTGAATGCCCTTCTCAGAATGACCACAGTCCGAGGGGTCTCTGAGTTGTGTAGCATGATACGTGAGATCTGACCTCCTTGGAGCTTTGACATCTGTACCATCAAATTGTTCCGTGATTGAGAAGGCTTTTTTTTTTTTAATGTATTTAGTGCAGGGTCTGCAGGGTCTCACTCCACAGATCAGACTCGTAGTGATCCTCCTGTTTTCAGCCTCCCAAGCGCTGGGATTACAGGCATGTGCCACCACACCCAAGTCTCAGTGTGCCCTGGGGGCAGGGCCAGCATGGCACATTGGGGATCAAACCCTGGTTCCTGCGCTTGCCAAAGCAGGTGTTTTAGTTGACTGAGCTATCTGGCCGGCCTCAGAAGAAAGGTATCCAGCTCTAACTTCCGGTTGTCCTCTCCTGTTCTTTCTGTCCCCTTCTGTGTGAAACACAGAAATAAGTAATATAATATCTACATAGTTACAATTAAACACTGAAAGCATGTTATCACCCAAGAACTCAAAAAGCATAGCAGCATTAGCGGCCATATCACTTCACAGTCCTTGGCATCATCTACTGTCACCTACAGTAACCTGTTCATGTCTCCAACTTTGAGTCATCGTAATGTCCACACAGGGTCACTCTCTGCTTGCTGAAACACGCCACGGTCATGCTACACTTATCTATTGTACGATTTTCTTCAGTGATTGCACGACATTCAAAAAATGAGCTCTTAAAATGTGATTGTTTCAGGAACTTGGCAACAGATGAAATATATTTCGTGATATCTAAGGGATATTTGAGAGAAGGAGGACCCACGAGCCTGGGAAAGGTAAGCCACAACAGCAGCCTTCCAACATCTGAAAGCAGGACAAGTACATACCCTCTGTGCGACTCCAGGTGCGACGCAGCCATAATGTGCCAGTCATCCTGGTGTAGAAAGTCAGTCTGACCCCGGGAGTCGTGGCAATAGTCAAGATGACCACTTGATGGGGATGTTACAGCGAGAATTCTCCTCTAAGCGGGAACTTCTTCAGCTTCTCATTTAAACTCAAGAGCTACTTATTCTAAGCAAGTATACATTTGAGCTCTCTCAGTGGTTTCATCTGCTGTGCTTGGTCAGAGAGTTCTCACAAGGTGACTTTGAAGGACGCCCTCCACTGACATCGATAGCAAGAATGAGTTGGTCCTTTCATAGTTTCCCTTTGGAAGATTTAGAGCAAGCTTCTAGATCAGGACATTAGCCAGGCAAAGATGGCCTTAAGAAGAGCTCTGGGACAAAACAATAGGAACAAAAATGAAAAAATGATTCTATACATTGGAGAAAGTTCTCTCTTAGAGCTACTGTAGCTCTTAGACGGATCACAACCCTGATGTCCTCAGTCAAAGGAATTCATAGTTCCAAAGGGGTTGACATGAGTTTAACCTGGAAATTCTTCAATTCCATGTGCTCCCCAGTTGGTGAAAAGCCTCCCTTTGTACCTCCAACTTTCACGGTGGCCCCCAGAGAGACTGGGGTTATCTGCTGTGCTGGTCAGAATCTGGGCCCATAATATTGCCTGCTGAACCCTACCACGGCTGGTGCAGAATTGGATACCTGGAAGCATTCAGCGTAGGGTTGCTGCTTCTAAATCACTCAACAAATGTGAATTAAATATGCAAATGCACTAGGCAGTAGGCTAGCATTTGATGACAGGAATGACAAAATAACATCCATGGCAACACACAGGTCACATTCTTGTCCCCATGAAGTTTCACTTTTTAGCATGGAGACACAGTACCCAACCCCCACACATTAAAAGTGGAAAGGCTTTTCCTGCCTCCATCTGCAGAGTTTTCAGGACAGTGTGGCAGGCAGGTGTGGGAGAATAGATACAGCTCATGGCGTGTTGTTGGAAAGAAACAGGACCCAGGACAGAGACCCACCTCCTCCCAGTGCCGCGTCTAGCTGTAAACTCAGCAGCAGACTGATCCATGGATGAGCACGATGTCCCCAGGATCCAGCCATCCCCCAGAGTCCCAGCATGAGTGCATCAGGCTTTGGGTGAGACATCTAGAAATAAACCACAGCAACAGCCTAGTAGGAGAGACAGATACTCTTAGAATGAACAAACACATCCTATGCTGGTGAAGTGAGCTAAAGGCCCTGAAGGGACTGGGTGACTGAGACATCCAGGTTAGGTGGGGAGGAGGCGAGGTTCAAGCAGATGTCTGAAGGATGACAAGAGGATGAACTGAATGGAGAAATAGGTGAATGAGAGAGGCTGGGAGGAGGTCTTCTCCACCTGGGGTGACAGGCTGGAGGCACTGAATGCTCCCAGCAATGAGAGAAGCAGCTGCCCTTTGTGACTGCCAATTAGTGCCTAGTGTAATGCCAAACTTACGTGTTCATTCTTCAAAACAGCCCTGGGGGGACTTGTCCCACCCTCACTGTACAGGGGGGAGTCTGAGGCTCAGGCAGGGCAGAAACTTGCCAAATGCCTCTCAGCTAGTGAAAAGTAGAGCCAGGCTTCTACGGAAGTCTTTGCCTGCAAGCAGCCTTTAGAGCTTGGGTTCTTTAGACAGGAAATGCCGTCACCTGGACTTCTGATGTGCACAGTGCGCTTTCTGCCCACAGCTTGCGAGCCCCAGGCCTGAGCCTCTAGACTCGGGCTTCCTGCTGAGAAGCCATGCGGGTGCCACCAGGGGATGAGTCACCTGGTCTCAGGTAGTCATGCCGCTGTTGGGAGATGCACACAAAAGGGCTTGGGCCAGCCTAGATGTGGGAGCCACTGCCCAAGCACCAATGCCCCAGCAAGGCTGCCTAGCTCGCCGTGCACCCTGTGTGGGAGCTGTTTATCCACTGGAGCCAGGAACAGCTTCTCCCTGGCTGATGAAGTCCAAGGTCTGGGATGAGTGTGCCATGCTTACGCGGCTTGGAGCAGGCCACAAAGGAATGGAGTCTGCAGGGAGAGAGGAAGTGGTCACGGCTAGCCAGAGGGAGCTCCGGGTCCTCAGGCCCACTCTAGGATAAGGGTGACTTAGCCTCTCCAAGTCTGAGTTTTCCTTTCTGTTCCTTACATGGGGCTGGCAGCATTTACCAGTCTCAGATATCCTCGAGGTTCAAGCAGGTCCCTTAACCCTCCTTCCTTTCCTCCCAATGCATTGCTGTCTTGCTTCAGCCCCACAGCCTGGCGTATCTCACAAGTCCCTGTTTGTCACCCTGTCCCACTGGGTCTTGAGATCACCTAGAGGGTGCCCTGCTTTGCCTCCCTTTGCAGCTCGCTGGCAGAAGGTAGAGACTCTCCCAAGACCCATGTGTATGAGCCGGAGGTCAGGGTCTGCCACCTGGTTCCATCTACCTTCTTACCTGGTGGGCACTGGCCCTGCCTTCACACAGCAGCCTCAGTGCCAGTCTTTCCCTGCCACTCCTTCCCCTCAGCACCTCCTTTCTAATTCTAGCATGTACTTTGTGACAAGTCCATAGATCCCGGATACTTTGTTCTGCAGTCACTACCTCGTCTTACCTTTTGCTCTTGTCCTGTTGAGATACCACCAAGCATCAGCATTTCTGAAGCCCTTTCTAGTGTTCCAGCCAGGGTACATTTTTGCTTGGCAGCTGAAGAGACAGAAGCCAAGGGACGTGATCTACCCAAGACTGACTAGTTAGTAAGTGGTGGAGCTAGCCCTCGATTTAAATACAGGCAATCTGAACTCAAAGTGAGTGTTTCTCTTGTCTCTCTGCCTGCACAACAAACTCTCTGAGCCTAGGGGCAACTCCTTCAGAAAGTTGGCTTTGCTGCTGGAGATGGCCTTTAAAATGGTAAATCAGAGTGTTGGAGTGAATTTACTACTCTAGGATAAGGGTGACTTAGCCTCTCCAAGTCTGAGTTTTCCTTTCTGTCAAGTGAGTATAATAACATCTACCTCAGAGGATGTTATCACATGTAAGTGAGGCAAGGGCAGGGAAGGGCCAGCCTGCAAGTTATGGGACTTATTTGCTCCCGAAGTTAGGCAGTCAACTGGTTAAGACTACAAAGCTTCCGAATAGTCTTTTGTGTGATCTTGGGCAAATTTAGTAATCTCTCTGTGTTCCTGTCCTATATAATTGCCACAACAACAGAATCCTTATCATAAAGATATTGTCCTCAGAGGCTGGGGATCTAGCTCAGCAGCGCAAGTACCTGTCTGGAAAACCCAAGGTCCTGAGTTTGAATCCTG